ATACTCATTGATGCCGTCCCCATATTCACTTATGCTGATGCTTGTGGTGCTTGCTGTGCTGACGCCATGAACGCTGATACACTTTGTTGTATCACAAGATCAAAACCTGCTGCGCCATCTCCTGTGGCAGCATTAAACGTGAATGACGGGGATGTTCCTCCATCGACTCCTGGTCCATTTGCTCATGCGGCTGTTGCAGCAGAGCTCGCAAAGGTTACTCCTGTAAGACCAGAGACAGGCAGTGGTGGTGCAGAGGTATGCTGCGGATCATCACCTCCACTTTGCAAGTGGGATTTACTGTTGTTGCCAGAAGCCATGGTTGTAAGTTAGCTCTTTCTAATGTAGATTTTCGTGAACCTATCAGTTGTAAAAACTAGGAGATCGTAAACTTTCTGCTCAATACTTGCTCCCCCCTTTGACCTCATCTCACATACTTCTTTTGAAGTTAGGGGGTACAATATTTCTCTCGACACTTTGGTTTGTACCCCCACCTTTGACCTTATCTGACATACTTGCTATCTACTTCTCAACATGGTTTCAGATAAAGTAGTTCCTTAGGACCGTTCGATTTGGTTTTTCCAAGCCCACTGTTATTGTTTTCTCTGCTTTAAATGGTCGCGCTGCCCCGCACGTGCCCTGCGGCCCCGCGCTCCCGTTACCCCGCGCTCCCGTTACCCCGCGCGCTGCCCCGCGCGCCTCTGCTGCCCCGTGTGCCACGCGACCCCTCTGCCACAAGCGCAACTATGATCCTCGCGCGACTGCTCTGCCCTGCCTGCGCGCGAGTGCCCTGCCCCACGAATGGAGATGGTCAAAGAGGTGCGGCAGGGCTGTCCGCTCGCCCCATACCTGTTCCTTTGCGCGGTTGAGCCACTCTGCCAAGAGATAGAAAGGAGAAAGTTGGGAGTCCGGAAACGAGGCGTGAAGGGGGAGTTAGCATACATTGGATATGCCGATGATACAACTCTGGTCTTAAAAGGGAAGGAGCAAGTGGAGACAGCGGGCAAATTGCTTGAGGAATTTGCGGAGATATCGGGACTGAAGGTGAACCATGGCAAAACGACGCTGATGCCACTGGGGAAGAACAGGAGGAGGTTGCGGCCGATAGCGTCACCTTTCACATGGGCAGACAAAGACAAGCCGGAGCGGTTGCTCAGAATCTATATTACATCTGGACGGTCATCGGGACCTGTGTGGGACAAAGCATTCGAAAAAAATAGCGCGGTGCTGAGCTGTTGGGAGACGAAGCACCTCAAGACATCGGCGCGGGTCACAATCATCAACAGCTATGCGATGCCGATTTTACTGTTCCAGTCACAGATTTACGCTCCGCCGTATAACATCTGGACTAAGGTGAAGCGGCTATGCCACAACTTCATCTCTGGCGGGAAAGCGCTTCTCGATAGACATTTCACCCTCTGGAGTTATGAACTGACATGCAGGGGGCGGAAGGAGGGAGGCTTGGGTGTGATAGATCTGAAACATCGGATCGACAGCACCGTGATCCAAAACTTGGGGAAGGCTCTCGCGGAGCAGGTGCCTCTACGAAACTGGCTATGGGAGAGAGCAGCCTGTTTCCCGCTCGGATTGGCTACGATCTACGCCTACTCTTCTGTGCTGAAACACTGGCTGGGAGGATGCGCGAGGTGGAAAGCTGCAGTGAAGGTGCTGCGGGATTCGAAAATCATGGTCAGGAGACCCTGCACACATATGGGATGCGGAGGAGGAGCAGCTGCTTTCAACCGCAGGATTTTCTTCAGGGGCTAATCACCGTTTGGGAACCAGGTGGGATCACACTGCCTAAAGGGTATCCGACTGGGGGACTTGGTGGCCAAAGGTGGAGACGACAGCAGGTCTCTCAAGTGCGAAGCGGTCCTGGAACGTGAGCTAGGAGGCGAGGAGCAGAGGAAGTGGGCTCTTAAGGCGTGGGACGCAACACCACAAGGGTGGAAAGATCTGGAACTTAAGCAACTGTCGGCGGAGGAAATCTTCAGGGAGACGGGGCTAATTTGCTCACCGTCATACCGCCCGGGAGAATTTTTCTACTACCAACTAAAATATGCGACCGACGGCATACTATACGGACGGAGGGTGACTGTGGATAAGAGGGGGTACATAACGGCGATGGAATATGCCAGTGTGGTAACGGTGAACTTTCTGCGCGCTACTCTTATGGTGGTCATAGATGGGAGAGTCCGCGGTCTACTTGGTACCCCAAGAACATGGCTGCTTCACTCTCCAATCTGTGAGAAGGGCGAGCGAGCCGAGTTGAAGCAGTTGAGGAAGGCGAGGAGACCTCCACGGACCCAACCTAAGCAGCATCTGCAGTGGGAAGAAGAGATGGGGAGAAAAATCGATTGGGGGAAGGCTATTCGCGCCATGCAAGGCGCGCGAAGTAGTGTTAAGGGTGCACAGCAACAACCTCCAAGTGAGTGAGAGGCTCCCTTTCCTGGGCGCAAGGGCGAAATGCACACACTGTGGCGGGGTGGAGTCGCAAGAACACTTTTCATTCAGCTGCCTAGTAATTCAACCAGCGGTCGAGGTGATGAAAAGGGCGGTACAGTGCATGAATCCAGGCAGGGAAATGAAATCCCTCCGCGACATGCTCTTTCAAAAGAGTGGCACGTCGTCGGGTTTTCCGGAGGCTGCAATCATTTCAATTACAGCACAGTAGGTGTGGCTGGAGAGGTGCAACGCAATTTTCCATGGCAGCCGTTTTCAGCCAAAGAGAGCACTGAGGCGTATAGCAGTTGGCTTTACAAGGCACGTGAAGGTCTACAGCAGAGCGTGGAAACGAATGGCTGGCATAAGTGGTTCGAAAAGGATAGGCGACTGGGGCCACCTGAGTGCTGATGAGGCAAGCGCCATGCGCAGACTATATGAGAATGAGGCTTCGATGACGCGGAGAGCAGGATTCAAAGCAATCTGGGAAGATGGCGGAGTAGCTTTCCAGCCTCCGTAAAAAGGATGAGGGGGGTTCGGTTACTTGTAACTCTTCGTGCCCTCCTAGCATTAGTTACGACTACGGATGTATGTCTACATGTCGTGTACTTATGTCCACCAAAAAAAAACAAACAAAGAAAAAAGCCCTGCCCCGCCGACTGCCCTGTCCTGCCTGCGCGCGACTGCCCAGCCCCGCGCGACTGCCCTGCCCTGCCAGCGCGCGACCGCCCTGCCCCGCGTACGAGCGACTGCCCTGCCCCCGTGCGCCTGCCCTGCGCGCGTGCTACTGCTCTGCCCGCGAGCTGCTGCCGCCCCAGGTGCTGCCGCCTGCTGCTGGTGCCCTAGGTGTTGCCACTTGCTCCCGCCCTAGGTGCTGCTGCTATAGCGCTGCTACTGCTGCTACAGCCCTGCTACTGCGGCTACAGCGCGCCATCTCCTGTGGCAGCGTTAAACGTGAAGGACGAGGATGTTCCTCCATCGCCTCCTGGTCCAGTTGCTGATGCAGCTGTTGAAGCAGGGCTGTCAAAGGTTACTCTTGTAAAACCAAAGCCAGGTAGTGGTGGTGCAGAGGGCTGCTGCAAATTACCACCTCCACTTTGCAAAAGATTTGAAAGATTTGAATTTGTGAAAGATTTGAATTTGTGTGCTAGTTGAATGTGAAAACTGATGGAAAGCGTGCGAATCTAGAGAGCGTAACAATAGATTAAGTTCGCCGAATTCGACGAAACATTGCGTGTAGCTTACGCAACCGTAAACTATGAGCAGGTACGCGTTGGAAAGGTCTTAATCTCTAATTTCCAGAATGGTAACGCACGCGTTCAACCAAGATCTAGGTGGATCGCTATCGCGATTTAAGTGCGACGGGGTATCCTGGCGGAATGACTTCGCAGCCATGTATTAGATCTAGAGAATAGCCATATCAAGAGTTCAGATATAAAAAATGACGAGTTGGTCAAACCCTACCAACCCAACCCTCGCCCTACAACAATCCCTAACAACCCAAAGTGCCAAACTAGCAACACCGAAGGTGTTGTAGTGACTAGCAAAGGTTTGTTGGTGCTTGTTGGGTGCGAGATCAATTCCAGCCCGCAACAAGTCTAGCAAGCACATTTTGCCCAAACCCTTAGCCCACAACCAGCTAGAGCAAAATACCACAACCACATACACGATCAACACTCCCCCTTGCTCGTGCTGGAGGTGGCTGAATACCACTGGGCAAAATCCTTCACTCCATTCCCCCTTGCCCAGGGAGGGGCACCATCCACAGCATGATGTCGTCAAGGCAGAGAAGCACCAGCCCTCCCACAACCTGCTCAGGCACCATGCCAACATGGGGCTGCATCCCTATCAAGGACATGCACACACCGTGCCGCTCAAAGGGAAGGGGTTTGGTGAGTATGTCTGCTACTTGACGGTTGGTTGGGCACCACCGCTTGCCACTTGCCACCATCTCCCTAATGAAATGCCACCGAACCTGCATGTGCTTTGTGCGGCCATGCAAGCATGCATTATGTGCAAGGGCAATGGCAGACTGGTTGTCCACAAACACAGCCACACCACCAGGAAGCACATTTTTCCCAAAGCCGTAGCCCACAACCAGCTGGAGCAAAATACCACAACCACCTACACAACCAACAAAAACAAATATTGATAATAAAAGACAAGTACAAGAGATTTATAGTCTAACAAAGTACATATTCAGTAATACCTGTTCACTAAGCGGGCTGAGTATCGAGTAGACTCTTTTAAGCAGTATGTTCCTGTCCTGTGTCATTCGAAGAGTCGCGAGAGTGTTCGCACTACTACCTGTTACTCACGCGAAGGGACACCTGCTATAGTAATATGCACACATAATAATACTACCCATATCACCCCGGATAATAGCGCACATGTGCTTATGCACCTTTAGAAGGAACACTATCAATCATCATATCTACACTTGTACATAACTTATCCATAATAGGATGTCAAGGGAGGTCCTTGCTGAAATGTAACACATTGCACTTCATAGAACCCCCAAACTTCTACTGTAACCAACACGGACATCGTTATATGATATATCACGGCAGGGGTTGGCGGGCAGCAGCAATGATGTCGCGCACATCCGGCTCGTCACCAGTATCCTTGTTCTGCAGGCACGAGAGAGAGAGATAGCGGTGAGGGAGGCTGGTAACCGTGTAATGCCCACACGTGAGGGGCAAGCATAACGAGGTGAGGTTGAGGTGAGGGGCAAGTGAGGGGCATGTGAGTGAGGGGCATGTGAGGGGCAGGTGAGGGGCATGTGAGGGGAATGTGAGGGGCATGTGAGAAGCAGGTGAGAAGCATGTGAGAAGCAGGTGAGAAGCATGTGAGAAGCAGGTGAGGAGCAGGTGATAAGCAGGTGAGAAGCAGGTGAGGGCACCTTGTGCAGGAAGAGCAGGTTGTAAATCTCCGACCCCACCACTATGATGCCACCCTGCTGCCTGTGATGGGGAAATTGCACATGAGGAGACAGACAGAGCAAGTACAGAACTGGCGAGGACATTTCAGCTAACATGAGTATCCACCGAATGGCCCTTGTACATCTTCAGGTCGTTCACACGAAGTGTTGCCATGCATTTTTCCACTCCAATGAACTTTGCATGGCTTGATGCTATGCAAGATCTAGAGAAGGACACCCTCGTTGCCTGCCCTCCTGCGCCTCGCCATGACTCACCACGCCGCCCTGAGCACGGTGTCAGCTTGCAGCGACAGCCTCTAGTCCTACTGGAAGCCCTCCATGCGCGCCCTCGCCACACTCAGCGCCACCTGCAGCACGGCGGGCGGGTGGGGCGAAGCGAACACAGGCGGAGGGGAGAAAAGCATGCATCACAGCATGAGCAGCAGCATCACCTGAGGCATGTAAAGGGCAAAGGTGCGTTGGTGACAGGGTTGAAAATAGCGGTCAGGAAAATTTTCGCTAGGAATTTTTTGGTGGATTTTTTTCAGTCAGATTTGAAAATGTTGGCAAAATTTTGTTAGACCTTGAAAAAAACAAAAAAAAGCTGCTCAAAGGTTCTTGCGGAAAAATGCCAAATCTGCGGAAATCTGTCGCTTCAATGCCAGATCTGCCAAAAAATTGGCAGAAAATTTCCAGATCTGCCTAGATTTGGCTGCAAAATGCCAGATCTGTCTAGATTTGGCGGCAAAATGCCAGATACGCCGAGATCTAGCAGCCAAATGTCTGTAAGTTATGCACCCATCGTTTTTTTGTCATTTATACTCGATGATTATTTATTTTTTCTTAAAATTTCAAGCGAAATTTTGCACCAAAAAACCTTTTTTTTCCTGAAACAAAAATTTCGGGGGAAATTTTCGACATCAAAATATTTCGCCCAAATATGAAACATTCGTCAAAATTTTGAACCGTGGTTGGTGTTGCCTCTCAAAAATAAATTTTTGTTGCTTATAAATAACCCACCTGTCTGCGACATGGGCAACAAGGGCATACTCATTGTCCGCCGACTAGAAACAACTCTCATTCGACCATGATCGCCCATTTAAATGCAAAACATCACAGATGTTCACTATGCTTTTAGCAATGGACTTTGGGGGTGGGAAGGAGGGGGAGGGGGGGGGGGATGTAAGCGAAAAAAATGTTATGTAATGCTATCATTTGCATTTACGTATGTGTGCCTCCCATCTTATGTTCGTACGTTGCATGCAAGGTGTGAGCGTGCGCAAGAATTTATGTTTGGCGTGGTTTGGATTTTCTGAGTGTGTGAATATTATTTGGCTTGAGCAGAAATCTGAAGTGACTCCTCTGCTCGAGAGCATTCCGACGAACCAAGGATCGCCTCAATCGGAGCACGAACGAGAAAGTTACGAACGGTTAAAGTTCGTATGCTTCATATGTTTGGTTACAGCAACTTTGGGAATTTGTGGGGTGACTTCATAAGGGGTATAGACCATTGGGGGTTGGAAAATTCGTCACCATCACTGTAATGATGCCAAGTGGTTGGGAGAAGCCAAACCAGGTTGGCAAGTGTGGCCAAGTTGGGTGAGGTGGATGGCATGGGATGGGAAAGTGACTAAGGTCAAAGTTGGGGTGCCTATAGGGAGGGGAATTGTGTTACTATGGAATTTCCTTGGTTGGGGACTCCTTGGGGACCTTCTCTCTCATCCTCATCATCCCCTCTTGTCTGGTTTCTAGCTACTCGAACTTTCTTGTGTGGAACTTGTGAGATAATTTTGATTGAGCTAAGTTTCTGTGACAGCATACCCCCTAGTGCGCCGAAATTCATAACTCGAGTTATACTCCATCCATTGATACAATTCAAGTTGGGAAAGATAGCCACAGATAAGGACTACAATAATATCAGGTTCGAGAACATTCTAACAGTAAACCTTTCGTCGATGACGTTTCTTGTGAAGTCGACAACTCTGTCCATAATTCTAGTCCAACGATTTTAAGATATTTCGGCCCTAAATCTTCATAGACTCCGTCCGTAGTCTCTAACAAGTGGTATCAGAGCGATTAAGGACCTTGTGAAGATTCTACTGAGGTGCAAAGACCCTCCTCGTCACACCATGTCCTTTGGGCGTGCCTAAGTGGAGTTCTAGAGGTTGGATGTGACTTCCGCTAAGGGAAAACTCTGCCAAAATTTCGTTTGCGCCGACACTTGTGAAGATTTCGTGGATCTACATTGTAACCAGTAAAGTGGGGAGCTGAAACCTGTGATTGGGAGCAGAAGAGATGAATCAAGGGAGTGGAGATGCAGCTGAGAAGAGGAGTGAACCGCCACCATCCAAGATCGAAGCTTTGGATGGCTCCAACTATGAGGAATGGAGCGGGCAGATGCGGAGTGCGTTTAAACGCTACAAGCTGCTGAAACTTGCGATGGATGAAGAGAAGATGCCGGAGGAAGGCGATGCCCGCGATCGGTGGATTGAGAAGAGCCAGTGCTGTACAACCTAATTCTACAATCGGTCAATAACGACATCAAGGATTTGGTGGAGTTGGATGATTCCAGACCGAAGGCGTGGAAGCTGCTACGCGACGTGATTCAGCCCAACACGCTGCTGATGGTGATTGTGTTGGAGAAAGAGATGGCTGCCCTCTCCATGCGACCGGGAGACGATGTGAAGCCGGTCCTTGACAAGATCAAGGATACTTATGCGAGGATGACAGCGGCGGGCAGCAAGGTGTCGGAGATGCAGCAGTGCACCAAGATCATCTCGTTGCTCGACAACTCTTGGGATAATCTCATCCCCACCCTCAACGCTCAGCAGGACAAGTGGACACCAGAGTAGCTACGGCAGCAGATTCTGCAGGAAGACTTCCGCAGGCGCCACACGGGAGGCGGTGCTGCCAACAAGACTGCTGAGGGGTATGGAGCTGCAAGAGGCACCAGAGGACGAGGGGGTGGGAGAGGCCGAGGCCGTGGGAAAGGCTTTGGCAGAGGGAGAGGCCGAGGTGACTACAATGAGGGGCATAGGAGCTCTGGTGGCAGGGGGAGCACCCGAATGGAGGATGCATGCTGGTAGTGCAAGAAGGCTGGACATTCATGGTTCAAGTGTTTCAGCCGGCCTGAGGGATGGACGCCTCCAGGCATGAAGCCGCCAAGTGGTGAATGCGCTCAAGGTGCTGCTGTGCAAGGAGCAGGTGCATATGTTGATGGTGCACAAGGTAAAGCCTCACCTGGGATGTTCCTCATGGTTGAGGATATGCAAGCGAGGGGGGGTGATGTGGGTTCGGTTGGGAAGGTTGTGATGCACCCCCTCACTCATTGGGTGATAGATTCAGGTTGCACAAGTCATATGACCCCACGGGCAGAGTTGCTTGATGAGGTGAAGCCCCAGGACGATCAAGTTTGTGGCTGCCGCTTCAGGTGCTTTTCTCCCTGTGATTGATGTTGGGAATGCCAAGGTGATGGGAGCCAATGGGGAGCTTGTGGGGCTTGGGAATGTGCTGCTAGTTGAAGGTTTGTCCGCCAACCTTCTTTCTGTGCGCCGGCTGCAGAAGAGCAAGGCTAAAGTTACCTTCGGCCAAACCAGTTGCCGTGCAAAGCCTGGGAAGCTGTTATTGTGGAATCTGGACGAGAAGAGCAGCTGCATCAAGGACCTGTGGCAGCTGCCCATCATTCCTTGGAATGGGAAACCTCCAGCAACGGCAGCGGCAGCAGCAACGGCAAAGGCAACTGCGGGAGGAGAGGAGACTGCACCAACTGATGGGGCCCCGGATGCAGTCAAGAAGGTGCAGCAGCCACAGCAATCAAATGGTGAGGTGCTTGCTGGTGTGGATGGGACAGCTGCATGGGCAAAGGCTTCGTCTGGGAGTGGTGAGGCCGATTGGGAGACGTGGCACGAGAGGTTGTGTCATGTGAACTTTCAATGCTGCAGAAGTTGGTGAAGGATAGGAGCTTGATGGAGTTGGAGGTGAAGGAGGCAGCAAAGGAGATTGGGAGCTGCCCTACATGCCTTTAAACGAAGTTCACAAAGTTTCCCTTCAGCAGGGGCACGGGACTAGCCAAGGCCCCGCTCGCGTTTGTGCACATGGATGTGGTGTCAGCCATACGAGGGCCCCCTCTCTCTCGAGCACCTGATACTTCTTGACGATTGTGGACGACCACACGCGTGCTGTGTGGGTATACCCTCTCAAGACCAAGGGGGCAGTGGCAGTGGCTGTTCTAAAGGAGTGGATGCCGAGAGCGCAAAGGGAGAGCAGACACAAGGTCAAGGTGATCCGCACCGACAATGGAGGGGAGTTCATCGGCACAGTTTTTGAGGGGGAGCTGAAGCGGCAGTCAACATGCTAAGAGCCTACGGCTGCATGGCGGTGTTTCATGTGCCTAAGGAGAAGAGGAGAAAGCTAGAAGCCTTTGAGAGATGGGGTGTGCATTTGGGGATTGCAAAAGGGCTGGCTGCTATGGGACTTGACCAGCCAAAAACTGACTGTTTCGAGGGATGTGAAGTTCCTTGAGTCACTGTACTAATAGGAGTGGAAGCAGCTGCAACAGAAGCTTCCTGCTACACGGCTGATCGTTGAGGCCAATGAGGTGCAGCGGCCTTCGAGGCAGGTGGAGGTTTCTGTCTCTGAGGAGGAGATCTCTGGGGTGACTGAGGATGGGGGAGAACCTGAGATGGAGGAGTAGCAGCAGCAGCAGTCGCAGTAGCAGCAGCAGCAAGGTGCTCCACCACGTGCCCCACGTCCACCTGATCGTCCTAGGAGGGATGTTCGCCCTCCTATGAGGCTGACCTATCCGAGTCGTGGCTCGCCAAGTGTGGTACAGGCTGGGAGTGTGGCTGAGAAGATTGATGGGGATGAGATAGCTTACTGCAATGGGGCTACATGAGAGAACGTAGAGCTTAACGCCATGAGATAGAGGCCACACAGGGGTGCTGCAGATTTGGGAATAATGGAGGTGTTTGGTTGTTCGTTGGGATGAGTGATGGAAGAGCATTGGAAGGGCATGACACTTGCTGGAATGAGTGTGCATTGAGGGTGCATGCATGAGCTGAGGCATGTGGGATGATGGTTGGCAGCCAGAGGGGGAGTTTGTTATGTGATGCTATCATTTGCATTTACGTCTATCTGCCTCCCATCTTATGTTCGTGCGTTGCATGCGTGGTGTGAGCGTGTGCAAGAATTTGTATTTGGCGTGGTTTGGATTCTCTGAGTGTGTGTGAATGTTATTTGGCTTGAGAAGAAATCTGAAGTGACTCCTCTTCTCAAGAGCATTTCGACGAACCAAGGATCGCTTCAATCGGAGCATGAACGAGAAAGTTACGAACGGTTAAAGTTCGTATGCTTCATATATTTGGTTACAGCAACTCTGGGAATTTGTGGGGTGACTCCATAAGGGGTATAGACCATTGGGGGTTGAGAAATTCGTCACCATCACTCTAGATGATGCCAAGTGGTTGGGAGAAGCCAAACCAGGCTGGCAAGTGTGGCGAAGTTGGGTGAGGTGGATGGCATGGGTTGGGAAAGTGACAAAGGTCAAAGTTGGGGTGCCTATAGGGAGGGGAATTGTGTTACTATGGGGTTTCCTTGGTTGGGGATTCCTTGGGGACCTTCCCTCTCGTCCTCTTTATCCCCTCCTACCTGTTTTCTAGCTACTCTATCTTTCTTGTGTGGAACTTGTGAGACAATTCTGATTGAGCTAAGTTTTTGTGGCAACATACCCCCTAGTGCGCCAGAAATCATAACTCGAGTTATACTCCATCTTTTGATACGATTCAAATTGGGAAAGATAGCCACGGTTAAGGGCTACAACATGCTCGGGTTTGCAAATATTCTAACAGTGAACTTTTCATCGACGACGTTTTTTGTGAAGTCGACAATTCTGTCCAGAATTCTAGTCCAACAATTTTAAGATATTTCGGCCCTTAATCTTCATAGACTCCGTCCGTAGTCTCTAACAAGTGATATCAGGGCGATTAAGAACCTTATGAAGAGTCTACTGAGGTGTGAAGACCCTCCTAGTCCCACGATGGCCTGTGGACGTGCCTAAGTGGAGTTCTAGAGGTTGGATGTGACTTCCGCTAAGGGAAAACTCTGCCGAAATTTTGTTGGCGCCGACACTTGTGAAGATTTCGTGGATCTACATTGTGACCAGCAAAGGGGGGAGCTGAAACCTGTGATTGGGACCAGAAGAGATGAATACAGGGAGTGGAGATGCAGCTGAGAAGAGGAGTGAACCGCCACCATCCAAGATTGAACCTTTGGATGGCTCCAACTATGAGGAATGGAGCGGGCGGATGCGGAGTGCGTTTAAACGCTACAAGCTGCTGAAACTTGCGATGGGTGAAGAGAAGATGCTTGAGGAAGGCGATGCCCGCGATCGGTGGATTCAGAAGAGCCGGTGCTGTACGACCTAATTCTACAATCGGTCAACAATGACATGTTCCAGCACATCAAGGATTTGGTGGAGTTGGATGATTCCGGACCGAAGGCGTGGAAGCTGCTACGCGACGTGTCGATGGTGATTGTGTTGGAAAAGGAGTTGGCTGCCCTCTCCATGCGACCGGGAGACAATGTAAAGCCGGTCCTTGACAAGATCAAGGACACTTATGCGAGGATGGCAGCGGCGGGCAGCAAGGTGTCGGAGATGCAGCAGTGCACCAAGATCATCTCGGTGCTCGAAAACTCGTGGGACAACCTCATCCCCACCCTCAACGCTCTGTAGGACAAGTGGACACCCGAGTGGCTATGTCAGCAGATTCTGTAGGAAGACTTCCACACACACCACACGGGAGGCGTGCTACCAACAAGACTGCTGAGGGGTGGAGCTGCAGAAGGCAGCAGAGGATGAGGGGGTCGGAGAGGCCGAGGCCGTGGGAGAGGCAGCTGTGAGTGCAAGACAGCAGGTGTGGCAGCAGTGAGTGCACGACAGCAGGCGTGGCTGCGGTGGGTGCAAGACAGCAGGCGAGGCAGCTGTGAGTGCAAGACAGCAGGCGTGGCAGCTGTGAGTGCAAGACATCAGGCGTGGCAGCGGTGAGTGCACGACAGCAGGCGAGGCAGCTGTGAGTGCGAGATAGCAGGCGTGGCAGCTGCGAGTGCAAGACAGCAGGCGAGGCGTGGCAGCTCACGTGTTGGATGTAGCCCGGCCCAATGATGATGAGAGTTATTCCTGCTGCTTGAAACGCATCCTGACAATGACGAGGACATGCCAGAGATGCAGAGGTAGAGCGACCAGAGATACTTCAGCTGCGAAGCAATAGGCGTTTCAGAGAGCCTGCAGCAACGAGAAAGCAAGCGCGGAGGCAGAAAGCAACAGCCTTCCCATAGCCCACCTTCTCATTACCCACCTTCCTGTTGCCCACCTTCAGATTGCCCACCTTCTCATTGCCCCACCTTCTTATTGCCCCACCTTCTCATTGCCCCACCTTCTCATTGCCCCACCTTCTCATTGCCCCACCTTCTCATTGCCCATCTTCTCATTGCCCCACCTTCCCATTGCGCCACCTTCTCATTGCCCCACTTTCTCATTGCCCCACCTTGCCCTACCTTCTCATTGCCCCAACTTCTCATTGCCCCACCTTCTCATTGCCCCACCTTCTCATTGCCCCACCTTCTCATTGCCCCACCTTCTCATTGCCCCACCTTCTCATTGCCCCACCTTCTCATTGCCCCACCTTCTCATTGCCCACCTTCTCATTGCCCCACCTTCTCATTGCCCACCTTCTCATTGCCCCACATTCATTGCCCCACCTTCTCATTGCCCCACATTCTCATTGCCCCAACTTCTCATTGCCCCACCTTCTCATTGCCCCACCTTATTGCCCCACCATCTCATTGGCCCACCTTCTCAATGTCCCACCTTCTCATTGCCCCACCTTCTCATTTGCCAGCATGGTGGTTAGCTTGCGACAGAACAGACAGCTAGCAGGCCGATACGGGCAAGGGAGGGCAAGTGTAGGAGAGGTGCGAGAAGCCTCTTGCCTTCCATTCTTTCGTGCTATGTGCCTCAAAACAGGGCAGGGCACTAGAGGAGCAGGTCGTAGTGGATGGTGCCGTTGTACAGCAGCCGCACCGCCTTGCGCGCCTTGTTGCCGTGTGCACCCGCCGCCCACCCGAACTCGCTGCCGTACTCCGCAATCGGCACCGCGCCCCCGCCCCACCGTGCCCCTGCCGCGCCTGCCACGCCGTGAGGGGTGGGGCGGTGGGAGCATGTGGGGAATGGGGAGGACGCATGGCAGGATGTGGCATGGGGCGGTGCCGATGGAATGTGGTGTACGGTGTGGATGTGGCATGGCTTGACCATGGCATGGTGTATCATTGTGACAGATCTGTGGCATGGCTCGAGGGAAGATCATCACGATCTATCATTGTCTTGATGGTCAGTGGTAAACGGTGAGGGTGGTGCATCGCTTGACCATGGCACGGCAAGAGGCAGAGTGAGAGAGAGAGGGAGAGAGGAATGCAGAGGAGGGAGGGGGGAGGTTGTGCGCACCTTGGACTCGGGGATGTACACAATGATGGGCTGCGAACACATGCCCAAAAGCACCTGCCGTAGGGAACATAGGTAGAGCTTGTGATTCGCCTTTTGGAATCAGAATAGTGACAATGGGTCCTACTAGAGAATGAGGTACGATAGAACAATGACAAGTAAGAATGTCAATTCAGCATCGCATATTTCAACGAAAGCTAAGTGTTTTAATTAAAGGAGGCATCAAGAATTGGCATGCACATGAAGAGACGGCATGCATGTAAAGCAGAACCCAGCGCTTGTCTCATCTTACCAGCAGCTCCGACTCTCCCCCCAGAAGTCAGGCCTGGTGATGCGCTGGCAATACCTGATTGGTGGAGGGCAGGGCGAGAGTGGAATATGCGAGATGAAGGACAGGGGGGAAAGGAAATCATGGGAGATGATTGAGAGATGCGAGACGATCCAAGTGAGGGCTTGGCAAGCAGCGTGTCCACTCTATGAGTGGCTCACTTCAACCCATGGCTCAGAATGCGCAACAGGTGCCCCCCATCACCTCCCTTCACGGCTCTCCTCCACTGATCGCAGCAACGACCACTCATAGCCCACGCCCCATGTCCCATGACCCATGACCCATGTCCCATGACCCATGACCCATGACCCATGACCCATGACCCATGTCCCATGACCCATGTTCCATGACCCGTGCCCCATGATCCATGTCCCATGACCCATGTCCCATGTTTCACGACCTATGCCCCATGACCCATAACCCACGCCCCATGACCCATGACCCATGTTCCATGACCCATGCCCCATGACCCATGACCCATGCCCCATGACCCATGTTTCACGACCCATGCCCCATGACCCATGCCCCATGACCCACGACCCATGCCCCATGACCCATGTCCCATGTCCCACGACCCATGTCCCACGACCCATGTCCCATGTACCACTAAGTTGCTTTGCAAGCAGTTACCGCGACTGTCATGTGAAGCCATGATCTAGAACACACCATGCAGTAGCTTCTCTCTCACCACCCTCCCATGCATCACCCACTCATCTCCTCCACGCATGCCCACCTGATCTCCCTACCCATCCCTTTGCCCCCCCTCTCCTTCCCTTCCCACCCCCCCACCCCCTCCCTCTGCTGACCAGGAGAGGCTCTCCTCCACGGTGATGCCCATCACCGCACTCCCTGCTCATCCGCCTCGCCCTCCTCTCCCCCCTAACCCCCCGTTCCCTCCCCCTCCCCCCCACCCCTCCCCCCTCTCCTCACCGCTGCAGGTTCTCCTCGACGGTGATGGCGATCCATATCCCGTGCCCCGCACAGCGTGCCCCGCACCCCGTGCCCCGCACCCCGTGCCCCGCACCCCGTGCCCCGCACCCCGTGCCCCCCACCCCGTGCCCCGCACCCTGTGCCCCGCACCCCGTGCCCCGCACCCCGTTCCCCGCACCCCGCGCCCCGCACCCCGCGCCCCGCACCCCGCGCCCTGCACCCCGCGCCCTGCACCCCGCGCCCCGCACCCCGCGCCCTGCACCCCGCGCCCCGCACCCCGCGCCCCGCACCCCGTGCCCCGCATCCCGTGCCCCGCACCCCGTGCCCCGCACCCCATGCCCCGCACCCCGTGCCCTGCACCCCGTGCCCCGCATCCCGTGCCCAATATCCGGTGACCCAGCTGCTCCCCACATGCCCATATGCCCTCCTTGTCTATCCCCCTACCCCTGCCCCTCTCCCCCACCCCCCTCACCGTGAGAGGCTCTCCTCGACGGTGATGGCGATGAGTGCCTCCTCATAAGCGGCGCGGCGCTTCTCACTGCCGCACAGCGCATCCGCCACTGCCAGCCGCAACTCGTCTGGTGCCCACGCGGGCACGGGCAAGGCGCGAGACAGATCGCAGCGTGGCGCATGGGGGGCGGCATGGCACGGCGTGGCATGTCTTGGCATGACATGGGGCCCAAGGCACAAAACAGAGAGCAAGTGTTAGAATATAACATACATATGTTTATATTCATGCTAGTGTTTCACCTGATGTGGGTGTACACTTTGTGCAATTCTGGTTAAGTGCACCCCACACCTTTTGACCGCGATTGACGGGGGTGTCCCGAAGAATGATACCCCCCCGTCACCCCTTTTGGATCATCCAGCCATTGATTGACACCCCTCTCACCCTGCCACAATAACATCCCTCGCATCATTGGGCAGCCAACCTCATTGGCCAACCAATGATGGTGTCGGCACTCATCCTAGCTCCCCACCATGTTCTCTCCTCTCTCAACTTAACCATCCTTGATCACAATCACAACTTGAGTTTCTTTCAGTAAGGAGGGCAGGGACAGAGTTTCATGGCATGCCAGGAGGAACTCTTTTATTGCCATTCACCTGCACGCACCCCCACTTGCTCCCTCTGCCTTGAGTTTACATAGTAAACTTACGTTTACTTACGTGGGCCCAAAATGACTTTATGTTTTACGGTGTGTCAGAAACATTTATAGCTGCTCGGAAAGGAAAGAACTCTGAGGACCAAGTAGCTATATGGGAAGTGCCTAACCAATGAGTTGCTTGCTTCTTCTGTGTTATGCAAAAGAGCCCTTACCTACATCACCTTACGAATGCTCCGTGCATACACTGCCATGTTACCGCCTCATACCAGTCAGATACCTTCTTATCTATATACTCTTTTTTTTTGCCCTGCCTGACCAACTTTACGTAGATTTATGAGTAAGCTTACATTTATTTCACCTAAAAAAACGTGAAGTACCAGCCTCTGCATGCTTGCACCCTCTGCCTGCTCGCACCTGCCTCGCGAGTCTCATCGGAGGGGGAGAGCCGCCATGTTCTTGTTGGCCGCCATGCCCGATACCTTCAGCACGGAGGCATGGGTCCATGGGGGCATGGGGGCATGGGGCCGAGGGGGCATGGTGGATTGGCGGCATGGGGTCATGGAGAAGGTGGACATGCACCTCGTCGCACATGCAATGCCTCCCATGCACACCCTCCTAGTCATCCCTCTCACGCACATGCTCTCTCACTCACCTCACTCGCCCTCTCCTTCAAACGCCTCTCACTGATTGTAGCTGCACTACTGGCATTAACTATTTCACAGTCAGTGCCCCTCCCTCATCACACGCCCCTCCCTCTCCCACCCTTCCCTCACACGCCTCTCAGCGCTGCAGGGCTCACCAGGGCGCGGAACATGCAGCGGCCGTCAGCCAGCACGCGGCACACCGAGCAGTATTCCACCCTCTTGCCCGCCGCCTCGCCCCCCCTGCCACGGCACGCGCGGGATACGACAGGGAGGGAAAGATATGTGAGAAGGGACCAGTTGCCTCCCAATGGCGCACCGAGTAGTACTCCACCTTCTTGCCCGTCGCCCCGCCCCCCCTGCCATGGCAGTGCAGGGCGTGGGAGGAGAGAGAGTGAGAGAGAGAGAGGGAGGACCCTAGCCTCTGCTCTCTTCCCTCCGTCCTCTTCCCACTGCCTCCCTAGCCTATATAAGAGGCCCTTTGGGGTCTCTCTTCCTCATTATTTGTGTAGTGGCTGCAATTTTTCGGCTCGCGCCGGCCGCCGCAGGAGATCCCGCGGCCGACATCGCCGCAACAGGGGCCACTGGCGTCGACAGCACCGGCGATGCAAGCGCAGCTGACGCCACGCCAAAGGGCCGCGGCGAATACGGCACTGGGGATCCGCCACCAATCGCCATGGGCATCGCGAGGTGGCCAAGCGGGGCGGCAGGCTGGTCGGTAGCATTGTTATGCGGGAAGGCATTGTACGCTATGTGACCAAGTGTAACGAGGCAGCCCAGGTGCAGAATCGCCTGTGGGCGCCCCAAGCAAGGACATGTCCGAGGAGAAGAGGGACTGCCTTGCCTTGCTATACTGGAGCCCGCCCTGAAGCTCCCTTGGAGTGTCTAAAGGGGTAACTGTTGACGATGGTGCTGCTTAGGATGTCATTTGTACTCGCTTGCATGTCATGCTGCTGCCATGCTGCTGGTGGTGACGGCAGGGGAGGGGTGTCAAGTCAAGCCCCCGCAGGATGTTCACACTGCGCAGAGTAACGCACCGAGGAGGAGCGGGTCGGGGCGGCTGGATGCACGCGAAGCACAGCCCGCGGGCGGCGCCAGCAGCGTCTTCAGAGTTGCGGTGGTGGGCGCTACGGGGTGCAAATGCAGTAGAGATGGAGGCGAAGGGGCTGGTTGTGGCAGCGGTAGCAGCGGCAAGGGGGTCGGCGGCAGATGGCAGGAGGTCCCAGGAGAAGTGCTGCAGCGATGCTGGTAGTGGTGCATGGTGAGCATGGATGATGGTGTATGGAGCAGAGAGGGGGAGTGGAGGAAACGATGGGAGGCAGGGGCGCAATAAGTGAGTCGTGAGACTATTGCCAGTCGATTGGTGAGCTGGCCTTGCAGTCCCAAAGAGCAGCGGTGAGCGCAGCAGAGCAGCAGCGACGGCAGTGACGAAGCAGGGAGGGCAGGCGATCGGGAGGAGTGCAGCAGAGGGCACCGCTGTTCGCAGGCGACACGAGGGGCGCGCTGCCGCCATGGCTCCCCGCGGAGGTGCGGCGGTGGGGCGCTGTACTGCTGTGGGGGCAAGAGGAGAAGAAGGGGGCAAGGGGAGAGGTGGGGTTGGCAAAGGGGCGGGAATCTAGGCGCAAATGCGGAAGAGGGGGTAAGGAGGACAGGGGGAAGAGGAGGGGCAGCGGGAGAAGGGCGAGTGTGGGCAGGCGAGTTCTTGTTTGGACACATGGCGAGTGCCGCCACGCCGATGCGCGCTACGAGCCTTCAGCACGCTTAAGGTTACATGCGCAGATTGCCTACCAGCTCTCCTGCTTTGCCCGTTGTACGGGCTGCTGGAAGGAGAGCGGCTGCGGGCCGCGCGAGGGACTAGGCGCGGAGTTGAGAGGCGACGCGACGGGGGATGCAAACACGCGAGGCCGCAGGTGACGGGGTCGGCACGGAGTACACAGCGAGGAGCGGCAGCTGGCAAAAGGCTGGGCAAGGAAATAACTGTGGGCGACGGAATGTGCTGCGCAAAGGCGTACGCGACAATTTCGTGAAGGGGTGGCCAAGTGATCATTGCAAATCACCGCGATCAGGTGCCGACATACTGATCGATCCGGCTGCTATCCTTTCGCGGGGCTATTACGAATGGTCCGATGTGCGCTATAACACCTCACTACCCACTTGGCACAGCCCACAGGCGTTACATGCGCAGAAACTGGCGGAGGCCAATCCTTGGACATGACAAATACAAACAGCTTTGAAATAGAAAAACAAGCATGTTTCTTTTAGAATTGTTCAAACTGTGCTAAGAATGCACAATACTCTAGAATTTGTGTTAAACTGTTTGTCGCCACATGTGTATCTTCATTTCGATTTTTAAGCTCCGCCTTTGCCACTTGCTACGGATGTAACAAAGCTGCGCAAATACCATAGGAAAACATTTTTAGAATGTCTACGTTCCCCTAAATCTCAACAGTTGGCCCTTGAAGTACTTGTCGTTTCACTTTTCTGTCTAGGTTTGTAGTTGTTACGATATGGAATTATTGCATAACATTCTTGAAATAAAGGAATGTTAACGCGAAGAAGACTGGAGCGGGGTTGAAGACCGAGCGAGACAAACAGTTATCGAAGACGGTCGAAAACAGGAAAATATTGAAGGGCACGTGCGGGAAAGGCATTCAAACAGTCACCGTGCCGCTTTTAGCTACCGAACCGCACGGTTGCCTTACGGGGAATGTACCCCCTCAGAGTACTTGGCTAGCCAGGACTTTTTGCATTCCCCTGTAGAACCTATGTAAACCCTTGTACCGCACTGCTATAATCACTTCTGTCGATATTCAATTCTCCCTCTACTGACAGAGTCTGTACCTAATCATTAGCAAAACTTTCGCTCCTATACTCCGTGCGATCAGCCTGAGCCGATCCTATAAATATGTTTATTGCGATTGTAACATGGTATAAGAGTCACCCAAGGTTTTCGCACCACCACCCCTGATTCAAATTCGTATTCAAGGTGGCGTATGGTACGCGCTCCCACCGAAACATATCAGGAGGATTTGGTGGGCAGGCGGCTCCTACTGCCGAAGCTCCTGCCAACCCAATTGCGAACTCCACGGCAACTACTACCTTAAGCAATGCGCTTCCGTAACAACTCATCTAGCGCATCACAACTATGGAGTCAGGAACCAACAATTGTAGAATGGCAACCCGAGCAACCGGCCGCTACCAACGAAGAACCGACCCCAACCACCTTCAACCTCGGGTCGAACTCACCTACTCCAACTTCATCACGCCCAAGTGACGAAGCCATGCTCACGGCCCAGAACAAATTTCTGGCCACATCAAAGATTTGCACAAGCACCGTTTACAACGGACGTGATTTCTACATATGGAGTTTCGAGCTTGATCTGCTCCTCCAAAGCGTTTTTTTTTCTTCTTCGACGGAAGCTACGCCGGTCCTGCAAGCGATACCGACGAAGCTAAAGCACATTACTACTGCGAGCTCATGGACACATTCTCATTTGCAACATGTCGCCGACCAAACAACTCGGCATACGTTAGTTCAAAACCGATCCAGCTCCCGCTATGACAGCTTGGAGCTATCTTACCAAAACTTACCAGCCTAAGGATTCCGTCTCCTCGAGTTGCCTTCTCCTACAAACTCCTACATCAATCGCTGCCGTAGCATCCTCGATCAACTTATAAACTAGGGTTCAGACTCCTCAGATCTCAGGTTAGCTTCCCCTGTTCTCAGCCGCCCCGTATATTTAAAAGCGCTGAGCTCTGTGTTAGCCTTTGCTAAGCTGAGATCTATCTTCTGGCTCTAGATCAAAGGCTTAGGCTTCCAATCTTGCTTGCGCTAGTTGGCTCCACTAAGCTAGTTACCAGATGTAAAGTGTGTTGAATTAAGCATAATGTGAAAACAAATATGCAAACAAGTGCACCAACGCATACTTCTTGCTGAAATATTCTACTCAAGTTACCGTTGGGAGCAACGGTGCCTTTTCACCAATCCCTTCTTGACTTTACCCGCGTAAAATGCCCCTTTTTGGGTCAGCCTCCTAGAGCATGTTCCTTTATCTTATAAGTCATTAATATATATTGTGTTCAGCTACTTCTACAAGTAAAATCATGATAGCTGTTAAAATCCTCTGCTATTGTTCTCCTGAGTCAATAGCTCGTCCCCATCCTCCCGTCCTGCTCTCCTTCATCCTCTCTCCCTCAGACTCCTCAGCTCTCTGGTCAGCTTGCCCCTATTCTCAGCCACCCGATGTACTTGCCCCCTCTTTGGCTTCCTTTGATCCTCCTCGTGCTGCCAATGAAGTACTTCCTCAAGAGGCTGCCGCTCCTCATGCCCTTCCCTCCTGGGTCTCGCCCTGGACAAGTTGGTGTGGTGATCTGTCCTCGTCTATCCCTTGTCGCTCGGCACTACCAGGACTCTTTCACTCCCTTCACCTTCCACCGCTCCGTGCTAAGGCCGATATCCATCATATCGTGCTTTGCTTGTTTCAGGTACACTTCCTCCCCTGCCCCCAGCACCTTCTCTTTCTTCCCCATCCCCGCTTCTCTCCTCTTCTTGTACCTCTGTGAGTCTCTGAGCTGCGCAACGTGGAGGTTCTCCAGGGCTGCCAGCAGTAGCTCCCTTAGGTTTTGCGCTCGGGCCTTTGCCAGGCCCACCCTGACAGTATAGTTGGAGCATCCTCGGGCAGTATGGGTTCCCTCCCCAGCAGCAAATAATACGGCGAGAGGTCCCAAAGAGCAACCCGCATGCTGAATCAATATCCGGCGACCACCCACGGTAGACGAGAACCCTAATCCTGCTTAAACACAGAGAGGTTTGAACAAATATCTCTGTCTAGCCGTCATTCTGCGGGTGATACCAAAAGGTCCTCCTATGCGTAATGCCTGTCGCTTTCAAGAACTCCTAAGTTCAATTACATTTTCCAACTCTCTTCTACAATTGTACCTCGACACTTTTTTAGTGCAACTTTTCCTCTCAACAAGTTTCCTCTTAGCAACCATGGCTCTCCTAAAGCCACCTTTAACACACGCGCCTTTGCCACGCGCGCAGCTGCTGCGCGCGCCTTTGTCCTGCGCGCCCCGATGCCCCGCTGCCCCGCTGCCCCGTACGCCGCACACCCCGCTGCCTTGCGCACCGCTGCGCCACATGCCGCTGCCCTGCGTGACGCTGCCCCACATGCCCTACTGCCATTAACGCCGCTTCGCCACACACCGCAACCCTGCGTGCCGCTGTCTTGCGCGGCATTGACCTGCACTGCCGCTGCTTGCGCACCTGCTGCTACTAGAGCTCCTGCCGATGTTGCCGCTGCAGCAGGTGCGCGCGGCAGCGCCCAGCGTGCCTCAGCTGCCCGCGGTCCGCCCACAGCTGCAGCTGTCGCTGCAGCTACAGTCGTAGCAGCTGCCGCTGCTACAACCGCCGTTCGCCCCTGCAGCTACAGCCGCCACTGCTGTTGCCACTGCTGCTCTAGCCGCCGCTGCCGCCGCCGCCGCTGCTCCAGCCGCCGCTGCCGCCGCCGCTGTTGCTACAGCCCCCGCTGCCATCGTCACTGCTGCTAAAGCCGCTGCTGCTGTCCGCCGCTGCTGCTGCAGACGTCACTACCGCTACCACTGCTACTATAGCAGCTTCTACTACCGCAGCTGCTATGGCTACAACCGCCGCTGCCGTCGCCGCTATCGCTACAGCCGCCGCTACCGCCGCCGCTACTGCTACAGCCGTCGCTACAGCCGCCACTACTACAGCTACTGCTACACTGCCGCCGCCGTCCCTAGTACTGTTGCTACTGCCGCACAGCCACTGTGGCCGCCCTTCTGCCAACTGCTGCCTGAGCGCTGCTGCTGCCCATGTGCCGCACTGCTGTGCTACCTGGCGACTCCCACTGTACTGAATTTTGACGCGGAGGGCCGCCCGATAGAGTATGAGTCCTGGCTAGAGGACCTTCGCCTGTACCTGCAAAGTGTTACCATGGACGATGCCTCGCTGTTTGAGCACACTTCCGGATATCTTAAAGCCCCGCCCACTCCTATATTGACGATGTTGACTGACAGCACTATAAGACTGATCGCATAGCCTACTTTGTGGCTCTCCTTCGACGTCATTTCCCAGCTTGCTGTCCGCAACCACTTCCCGCTAGACCAGAGGCCCCACTTCCGCCAGCTCAAGATGGCCAAAGCGCTCTATGATTGTTAACGGGAATGGAGTGTTGGCCCCGCCCTCTCTTGGGCGACGCCGATGTTCTGGTCAGATGTCTCTCTTCGACGGGGAGGTTGACGGAGCAGTCCGTCAACCTGCGTAGGATGAGTGAGCGGCGGTCGAAGAGGGGTTCGTCGACCAGAGTTTTCCTCGACGGGAGCTGTCGTCGATGAGGGAGGCGTCGACAAGAGCACTGGGTGGTCGACCAGGTAACCTGCTAAGCGAGTTCTGGAGAGGCACGCGAACGTCGTCGAGGTCGTGATGGCGAAGGCGACTTCGGGCTGGTATCCCGAAGTCGATGTGGCTTATCACGCGCAGACCAGCGCCGACGGATGCACAGCGATGCAAGTCGGGCCAATCGTCTGCACGCACTTGTGAGCGTGCGCACTGCTGCCATCTCTGGGTGCAACGCTGGACAGCCGCTCTGCTGCAGCGTTGACACGCCGTCGACCTGCTGCGTCGGCAGGCCGCATTTCTGTAGTGTTGGCGCGGGTCCTCTATGCAACGCAGGCAGGCGGTCGACCATGTAGTGCTGGCGGTCGACCAGGCTAGCTCCAGAATGGCTAGGTGCCTGATCTAGTCATTTCTGTCGTTGTCATTGCTATCATTTTGTGGTGAGAACTTTGCTAATGGAAACTCTTGCCGATTTCTCCCGTGAATGCGCAAGTGCTAACGAACACAGGCAAAGCTATGATCACTCCTAGAGTTCGTGCCAACCCCCGTAGTCTAGCTCACGACTATTGTAGAGTGACTCTCCACATGGTGCGGTGAGCGTGGACGGCCCCGCAGATTACCTTCAGATAGGATCTGAATTTTGCACCAACTTAGTCGTTCGTAGGCCGGCAGCCGCGTTAGTCGCCATG